GAGGTGCTCTATGTATCTCTGTCTTCTTAACCCTTCTTTTTTATCACACCACACTTGATGAGATAATTCTCTGTGCTTTTCTGTAAGGATCCTGACATGATTTTTTTTGTTCCCTTAACTTCAATGTCAAAGTCAGGATATGGTCTGACAGCCATTGGTTCTTTTGCTCAACTTTTATAAAAGCATTTTCTATGTGGTGCGTTCCTCTTTCAACTCTTCATTTTCGCGAGCCAACTCAGTATTGTTTATTTTTTTGGCTTGTACCTATATGCGTAACCTCTTATGCTTCTATTGTAACTCCTTCAACTTTTTTAGGGCGTCATCCCATTCTCAACAACCTTCTAGGCCTTGCTATATTCTTTGGAAATTCTATGGGCTTAGATTTTTAGTTTTTTTACTTTGTTTTGCCATTGATCCTTTTCTTTCCGTAGCTTCAAAACCTTTTATCTCAGTTTCTTTTTTTCCATCTCATGCTCTAATTTTGAAAGCTATTTATCAGATTCTTAACCCACTGGTAAGTCGTAATCCTGATGCCCAGATGCAATCTCCTGACCTTTTTTATTTCTCCAAACTAAATATCCCTGAGTAACTTGATCCGTGAATGGTCATGGGCTTCTTCCAGGCTTTAATTATGTTGTCAATCTTTTGGAAGGTTCCGAGCTCCTCATATGAGCAGTCAAACTGGTCTAGCTTGTGGGTTATATGAATAAACTGTTCAGCTCCATGATGCCTTCTTACCATTAATGGGACATAACTTGTTAACCCTTATAGGCCTAAGAGTGGGACCTCTGTCTCATCTCTACATTGGTAAAGCATAGGTTCTCTGCCCATCCATGGAGTTAACCATCTTACCTGACTAACAGTGAGTCCTTGCAGTAAATATTTTCACTCCTTTTGAGTTCTTGCCTTTGGCCAAGTGCTTTGACAAAATTCTTTAATTAGACTCCGAGTATGGAGATAAAGTTTGGTGAAGGCACTTTTCTTGCACTCAAAATGGCTTTTTATCCATACATATAATAAGAGTATGCAACCCATGAAGCATACTTTATCCATCTGCCTATAAAAACTCAAAGATCTAATAGTTTCTACCAAGATAACTGGTGAAGGGTTATAACCTCTTTCAATCTACTCAAATAGATCCATCACTTCTATTTCAAAATGCCCTAAGACCTTGGGGAAGATAACCAACCCATATATCGCTAAAGCAAATGCATTCATTCCTTGGTCGTCATCTGGATGCTTGATAATGAAATCTCGAAAGAGCCTCATGGAATACCTTTGTGATCATTATTCTCTTGAATGTATGAGTTTATAGTCTCTTTTCCACCCCTAGCATCTGGCTCAGCTTCTTGAGATCCCTGATTTATATTTTTTCATGTATGTTTGATCTGGATACAATAGATGCATAACCCATCAGAGTTGAGGATTTCCTCAATTATTGGTACTAGATAATCTCATTAAAGATAAAACACCGATAAGAAGGATCTCAAAACTATACCATTATCCTGATAAGTGAGTAGTCAACCTCCACTGACAGGAGATGTGTTATATGTCTAAACTTTTCATGAAAAGTTTTTGTCTTGAAGGGGTCATACCATTCCATATGTCTGATAATCTTTTCAAGTTATGTGTTGATGGAATAGGTAGGGCCTTTTTTTGATAATGTAGGGACATGACCAGGTGGCAAACAATCTTTTCTTCTAGTTGCCTCTTTTCTGATTCGATCTTCACCTCTATAGGAGAATCATATTTAAACAACATAGATGAGTTGCAAACCTGATGTTTTGTGGAATCCATAAGGGTTTTTTGTTGAAAAAGCTTTAGGGCAAAAATGCAATTTGCGAACATGTTCATGAATGTGTGCAAAAAGAAATAAAAGAAGAAAAAGAAATTAGTTAGTCATTTCAATGAAATATAAGAAAAACATAATAGTTACGATAACAACATGACCTAGAATTTGAGATTATCTACAAAGGGTGGGAAAATAAGGCTCTATCTATGGTTGGGCTTTTAAAGTCAACTATATGTGGTTTGGGCCATTTCTAAAAGGTTCTTAAATTGTTCCCTACATCATAGTCCATTAAAACTAGTAAGGCACCCAAATCCTTACCCATTATAGGTTTTAAGTGAAAAAAAGTTCAATCTGCATGGGAGTATTTCGTATCCCTTGCGGAAACATGAAATCTCACGAAGGTATAGATACTTCACTCTTTCCTAAAGGTAAAACCCGGGTGGAGAGCTTATGTTATGCATATGAAAGTGAATGACAAATAAGCATATATCTAGGCGAATATAAATTCTGAATAATGGGGTAAACAAATGAACAATAATAAAGTATATATAAATAATGGAAAGAAGTAATTTTGAATTTGTTAGACAAGACCTGGATAATAAGAAATCTTTTATTGGCTTGACTCTTCATAATGTCTCCAGTGGAGTCACCAAACTATCATAACATATAGTTCTGTAAACCTACCGCTAGACATGGATGAAAGGGAGCCTCCACTAATCTTTTTTGTCTAGGTGTGATTAGCCACTTGATTGAATCTGATCTATAAAACAGATGTTAGGTTCGGGAGTTAATTACGCATAAGAAAGGTTGTACCACCCCCCACAACGTCCATCCAAAAGATTATATCAGTTTGATTTTAAATTATCCAAGCCTTGATCACTTTTATAAAATACCATATAGTAAATTTTATATTTCCCTTTGTTTGTTTCCTTTTTTTTTGTTTTTTTTTTTTATGGAAAAGACAAAATAATTTTTTTCACTTTTTTCTTTTTT